GGTCAATTCTTGAGCATTTGTCTAGTTTGCTTTATGATCCAGTGTGTTGTCAATATTCCAAATGTTCTCTCTGTAAATAAAAAGATTGTCTTCAGCAGTATTCACTGTGAAATTTATACTTGTACATTAGGTCAAATTTGTTATTTCTGTTACTCTAATTGTTGATATCTTTAGCAATTGTTTCAACTGTTTAAACAATAATTATGTATGTTTGAATTCATAATGAGATTTGTGACTTTGTCTAAATGTCCTTGTGTTTCTGTTAACTTTTACATTTGATAATTTAATCAATATGATTAATCTATAAAAGGCAAGAATTCTCTTATCTTTAGTAGTGTTTGTCTTTTTCTTATTTAATGATTCTCTCTACATTTTGGAATTAGTTCATCTTAAAGTTTATCTTAAAGTCTTTAGTTTATCTTAAAGTCTCATGTTAATGTCTCACCTTCTTACACTTAAGAGTTGCTTGATATATATATATATATATATATATATATATATTACAAATATATATATCTTTGAAATAATTTTACTTTTACACTGTATCCTCTTGTTTTATATCTTTCTTACTAGTATAGCTATTTCCATTTTTGTTTGTTTTGATTTTATGCATGAAAATTTTTAGTTTTAATGATAACATACCATTTATATTTATTACAATATCATATACTTTAATTTAATCATACAGTATTATGCTTTCTTTCTTACTTGCCCTACTTGTTATGTTTAAAGTTATATACAATTTCTATCCTCTTAATTATTTAATGATTTGTTGTCCTAGAAATTTTAGCATCTATATTTATATATTAAGTGTCCTCTGGAAAAAATAAGAATCTCAAAATATTTTAACATAAACTAATCCTTTTAAAAATGACATGATTGTTTGCAATATTTGAATTACTTATTAAAATATTTATGTATATTTAGTTATATTGACAAAAATTGGATATGGGCATTCTGCAATTTGTTTTGATATATGTATAGATTATGAAATGATTGTCATTAATAAGTCAATTTATCTTTCCATCTGAATTATTTTACTATGTTTCTTGAAGCAATTTTTTTCCGTTACTTAATAAAATCAGGATTTGAGAGAATTATCTATTTGTTTCTAGTTTTCTTTGCTCTTCATTTCTTTTTGCATGACAGATTTTTCAGCCAGTACCATAATTTCCAGTGGCAAATAATTTTTCTCTTTCTTAGCTACATTTTGTTTCCTAAAGATACTAGGTGAACATCTTTATCTTAACCCTTTAAAGACTGCACTCAATTGTCCTCTGTCTTCAAATGCCACCAAGGAGCTACGTGCTGTTCTCTGAAAGGCAATCAGCTCTCACTGCAATGAGACAAAATCTCCAAGTGGTTTTGATTTACATCTCCCTGATTGCTAAGGATGTCAAATCTTTTTTTCATATATTATTTCATATTTTCATATATTAGCCATTTGTATTTCTTCTTTTGAGAAGTGTCTATTTAGATCTTTTGCTCATTTATTGATTTGGAAGTTGATTTTGTTGGTGTTAAGAGTTTGGGGTTCTTTATATATCCTAGACATTAATCCCCTGTTGGAATAGTAGTTGGAAAAATTGTTCTTCCATTCTGTAGGTTTTCTATTCATGTTCTTAATTGTTTAATTTACTGGAAAAGCTTTTTAATATGATGAGATTTCATCTCACTCCAGTTAGAATGGGAAACCTCAAAAAATGGTAATTGCTAGTAAAGGTGTGGGAGAAATAGAACACTCGTGCATTATTATTTTTTTTTTTTTTTTTTGTGGGGCTGCAAATTGGCACTTTGGAAAACAGTAAAGATTCCTCAAAAGACTAGGAAGGGAAACGCCATATGGCCCAGCTCTACCACTTCTTAGAATTTATCCAAAAGTTCTAAAGAGAATAAACTATAATGACACATGAATACCAATATTTATATCAGCACAACATGCAAGAGCCAAGATAAGGAACCAGCTGAGATTCCAACAGATGAATGGATAAAGAAAATGTAGTAGATATTTATAAAGGTGTTTTACTCAGCCATTCAGAGTAATAAAATTATGTCAGTTGCAGGTAATTGTATGGAACTGGAACACATGCTAAGTGAAGTAAGCCAGTCTCAGAAAGTTAAGGATCAAATGTTTTAGCTCATATGCAGTAGCCAGAGAGAGAGGGAGAGAGAGAAAGAGAAGAGAGAAATGACAAACAAAAGGGGGGGGAATCTCACCAAATAGGAGAGAAATAGAAAAAGGGGATCAAGAGTGGGGAAGGAGGAGAAGACACCAGGAAGTGCAGGGAGTAGAATCTCCCAAATCATACTCTATGCATGTACAAATGTAGCACAATGAATTATTCATACATATATGTGTGTCTGTGTGTATTTGTGTGTATATATAAAATTATAATGCACAAATTAAAATAACAATAATAGAAGGGAAATCAGTAGATCAGCAGGGAAGCTCAAGTGATCTGAGAAAGGCAAGGTCCTGGGGATGAGACTGATCATGCTGCATGTGTGTATGACATGCTACATACATGTCATAATAAATGCTACTATTATGGACAGTTACAATGTAACAATGAAGAAGTCAGTTTGCTTTCTTTGACCATGTCTCCTTACTGTTTCATTTATGTTTTTGGTTTTCTTTGGTGGTCTGCATTTTCACTATGCTCTGTGTACACCTGTTTTTCTTTTTTCTGATCCACTTAGAATTTTGCTGTCATTCTTGAGGCTGAGGAAAAATGTCTTCCTTTAGTTTGGGGATGTATCAGTCAACACAACTTCACATATTTTTACTGCCTCATACTCTCATTTTCTGTCTAAAGCACAAATGAAATATATATTAGATGATTTTCATCTATCCTCTATGGGCCTTTACACCTTATGTTTTCCATCTGTTTACCGCACTCTGCTACATACTAATGTGTTTCTTTTTTTTCTTTAGTTTTATTATCTATATGCTCACTTTCTTTTCTTTATGTCTAATTTGCAATTAAATATTGTCTTATTTTTATAGTTTTACTTTTTAGAAATTCTTCTTAGTTCTTTTGGCAAAATCATGTGTAATACAGATTATTATTATTTTTCTAAAATATGCTGGCCTATTTGTTTTCTGTTTTATCACTTGAATACTGAATGTCTTTGAACGACTTTAGGGTTCTAATTCTTTTTTCCAATGTTTCTTCTTGTCCTCCCACATTGTTCTTTGATTCCTTATTTAGTGGCAGTTTTAGAAAGATTTTTTTTCCGTTCCTTTCCTGAATAATTCATCTATTTAAATTATTTTCAACCTGAGTTACAGGTCTGTATTATGAAATTTGCCTAGAGGAACAGTTAGTTATTCTATAATCGCTGTACAGTAAACCCTTCACACAGATCGTGATTGTGTAGACTGGGACTGCACCTTGTGAGTAAAGATGCCTTTATTGTCCTCAAAGAATCCCTGTGTGCTATCACTTTCATGATTGAACATTTCCCATTACAATTAAGTATGCACTGGGCTTGGGTTTGTTTTGCCCTAGGCTCATAAGGCAATGAAACTTGAGTTTCTTATCTATTTGAGGACCAAGAATAGGGTATTCTTACTTAAAACTATTTTGAAGGAGGTGTATGCTGCTGTACTGAAAATATTTGTATTCTGTATTGTGTTTAAATCAAGTTATAACACAGAAATTCTTCTATCAAATATAAATGTTTTATAGTCAGCTACTAAAAAAAAAAGAGTAATCTGACTCTTTATTTCCAAAATCTATTTCTGTTTCCATGCATTACTGCATCAGTGACAAAGGAATGCAACCGTCCTGATGATTATACTTGAAGCTCAATGGCCTCAGGTTAGTTGTAAGATTACAGTGTCATGTTGGAAAAATCACAGAGGCTGCCATGTGACATTATGGAAATGATACAGAGATAGAAGCTGTGGTGGAATACACCATGAATCACAGGTCCTGAAAACCTAAGAGCATGAGTTACCCAGCGTCTAGGTAAAGCCCTGACTGTTGGACCCCATCCCTGGAATTCTGTGTGCATTAGTATCAAGTGAAGTTCACAACTGTATTTTTAACAAATTTTCAAGATTGACTGATCACTGGAATAATACAATGTCTTTTGGGGCACTGATTTTAACGCGACACAGTAGGGAACACTGAGCCTCGTGCCTAATCGTGAGTACCATCCAGTAGATACACTATTGGGAGGACATGCTGATAAACTAGAGAGTGGGCAACAAATTGGGGCTAATGCACCCCCTGATTCAAACTGAAAAACTGCTGCAGGTTTACAAGAATTACAGTAATAATAGGTTTATTTCAGATTAAAAGTGCTGAAAATCAACCATAGCTTTGTAGTCACATGCAGGTGGCTACACATATGCACTCTGATTTCTTTTATAAATAAATATAGTTAATTCTGTATTCATGAGTCGGCATCTACTCTGGAGAATTGGTCTCTGGTTTCCTGGCAAACTCCAGAAAGCTTTACATAAGGAACCTCTTGCTCTGTCCGCCCTGTTGGCGACTCCCCTGTCCTTTGCTCTCTCTTTTCTGTCTCCCCTGTACCTCAACACCACAGATTAGCTCTTCCATTACTATGGACACATGTTTCCTAGAAATGCAGGAACACCACCTACAAAGGGCCGGCTTTACAGAAGTGAGACAAGAAAAACCATAACCCCTTCTGTTTCAGCCAGCTTTTTCATTTCTATGACGAAAAGACCTGACACAAACAATTTTAGAGGAAAAAAAAAAGTCCATTTTGGAGCTTATAGTTTTAGAGATCTAAGTCTACAGGTGACCAAATATGGGAAAGCTGCCAGTGCCTGGCCAGGGAGTCCTATTCCTGCCCAGGAGGGTATAAGTTACCAGAGAAAATAAGTCAGAAATAATTAGTGAACAACAACAACAACAATAACAAAAAGAAAAAAAAGAAAAAACTCAGTTTGAAAGATAGTTTTGAAAGCAGAGCGCCTGATAGATCTAGCCTACACAGGAACTGGAGCTGGACACTTAGAATATGGCTCCCGTGGTTTATTTAAGGGGGTATATTAAAGGCAGGGGTAAGGTCTCAGGGGTGGAGTCTTGTTTCATTTTGTCTTGCAGTCAGCAGGTTGATTGGCATCTTGGCAGGTCACACCCATCTCTGAGAGGCTGTTAGACTGTAGCAGGTCACCCAATCTCCTCTGTTGTGTGGGACCTGGGGCAGAGCAGAATAGGGCTCACAAAGTGTTTGGGTGGTCTTGGCTAGAGGAAATTTCCACTGGAAGGTCCCAGAAACCAGATTCTCCTATTCACTGGCTGTGATGCCAATGTAGTCCACACACAGCCCACAGATGGCTCTCGACAACCAATTCACTCCATTCTTCAAGGCTCTAATATAGGAAGAACATCATGGAAGAAGGGCGTGACTGAGAAAAGTAGCTGGGGACATCACCAGGAAGCAGAACAAGAGAGAGGGAATGTTCCTCACTAGAGACAAAATATAAACCCCAAAGTCACTCCCCAGTCACTCACCTCTTCCACTCACACCATCCAGTTAATCCCTGTCAAGGAATTCATGCACTGATTGGGTCAAGGCTCTCACAACCCAATCATTTCACCTCTAAACATTCCTTCATTGTCTCACACATGAGCTTTTGGGAGACACCTGACACCCAAACCATAACAACTCTACTGGAGTGTTTCAAAGGAAGGCGCACATTCATTCCATAATTCTTGAAAGCACACATTGCATAGTTCCTATAGCCTTATGGATCACATGTGCTAAAGGCAGAAAGAATGCCACAAAGAGAAAACCTAACATTTAAGTTTGAAAGGTGAATACATAAACTCTTGGAACTCAGTGGAAAACCTTCCTGAGAAATCATTCATTCTAATCCTCCGGTCCAATGCTAGGGTGCTGCTTGGCCTCAGGATTTGGAATACCTCCAGTTTTTTACCCACAGTTGAATTAATCTATACTTTCTATTTTAAGATCTACATGGATTCTCCTTGCAGACAAGAGTTTGATGAAGGTAGAGGCAAATAGGCAAAAATTAAAGAAAAGTATAGATCTGAAATTCATTTACTGTGAAAATAATGAAATCTAATCTATCCATACATTTGAACAAATTTTGCAAAAAATAAGAATTTAATTTTCAATAAACATTGTTTTCTTTAATTATAATTATGTTCAATTGATTTTTAAGGAATTTTTCTATTTTTAAGGAATAAACATGTAGGTATATTATAGAAATAAACGGACTTGCCATTCTTATCTGCATTGAGAACAATCATGGACTGCTTATTCAGAGATTTCTATAGCAAGGGAGTCAGCCATCATCGCCTGGGTTTGGCAGATGTAAAAACAGAGGAGTGAGAGAGTTTGTTCATTGAAAATTAAAACATTGTGCTGGACTGGATCAGGTTAGGAAATAGAACAGATAGAAGAGAGAAAAGAGTCCAGGACCAAGATGGGAAGCCTGTCAACATTTAGAAGTTTCATTGATGAAAAAGATTCATTTGAGAAAGAAGAGTCTGGTAGAAAGGCACTGATGCCTCTCTGAATTGCTTGGACTCACCTTTAAGCAAAGGGATCTCTTGTTTGAATCAAACATTTCAATGGGTCTTCTCCATTCAAAGTGAAAATCAAGATCCTATTCAGGAATGTTCAATAGGGTGCTAACTGCTCTGCATAATAATATAAAAAGATTTCTTTATTGTGTGCCTGGTAATAGGTAACATCTTTCAAATGTGATTGCCTTTAGGAGCTTTTTCCCCTTGATATAGATTTGTACTTTGTTTCCTGTATAAATTGTTATTAGAAGCAATTGTATTCTCTCTGGGGAACTAAGATCAGATCCATAGGAAAAGGGGCTCATATTATTTGGGCACAGTGTAGTTGACCGGACTGGTAATGTCAAAGCATTCTGGACTTTTCTCCTGTATTTCTTATATGATAGCAATCCAGATTAAGTAACTCAAGCTTTGCAAAATGCACTATTGTTAGCATTTCCTCATAGTGAGCTTTTTTCTATTGAAAGAAATGACTGTTCTACCTGTCAAATAAAAGAGATAATTACCATTCAGAGTATGCTGTCTTGATGGGAGAGGTATGTGGTAATGAAGTGGTACATACAGGGGTAGAAGCATTGGGGAAGGAAACATCATTGGGTGGGGCTGCAGACAGACAGTGAGGGTAGAACATTGCTTTCCCAGATGCCCTGACTTCCACACTCAGGTCTAACTAGGAAAATGAGTTAGAGATGCACATGGAGACAATGTTCTTGGCAGAGACACTGGTACAAACAGTTTCTACAGGCAACTGTGATTACAGGGTTGTGCAGATGAGGACTGTGGGCTGCAGCTAGGGGACTAGGAGGTCTAGAAGTTCAGTTAGATCAAGGAAGGAGAGAAATTTAGTTAATCAGGGGCAAGTTAGCAGGTGTTTCATCCTGTTTGGTCAGGGGAACCAAACAGTTCAACTCATCATTTATGAGGCAAAAAATAATAGTTTAAAAATCTGGCCTTCTAATAGAAAAACAATGGGAAGACTCCCAAGTCTTACCTAAGCAATACAGAGGAAGGGGGCCCTGGCTATACTATAAACTATTTCTGGAATATAAACAGTGGAGAGGGTTTCTCTGTCATTGCTTTTCGGAATCATAGGGCAAAAGTAAAATTCAAAATTGTTGTAGGGAAAAAAGACAAAACTGAGCAATGTAAATAGCGTTTTACAAAGACTCAAATTCCTATAGAAGGACCCAAACTGCTATATTTTGGTGAGAGACAAGGGCTATGAATCTCAGAAAGGGGAATGTTAATAGATGAAAGAACTATACAGAATAAAAGGAAAAATTAACGAGTGGCATGGAATTTACAAAATGAGAAGAAGAAATGACTAGATAAAAGAAACATGAATTTGAAGATTTCAGAAGTAAAGCAAATGTGATTTATAAAACTCAGCTTTGGAGTCAGGAGAATGATTTTTTGATTGAAGACAAGTTTGTTGAATGGAATATAACTATATCTATCTATCTATCTATCTATATGGATATATCTCTATATATCTATATATCCCTATATCACTGTATCTCTATATCTCTCTATATCTATCTATATCTATTTCTATCTATCTCTATAGCTCTGTATATATCTATATATATATTCCTATATATCTCTCTGTATATTTATATATCTATATATCTATATCTCTCTATATCTATATATCTCTCTATATATCTATATACCTATATATATATTTATATATCTACATATCTCTCTATATATCTATATCTACATCTATCTCTATATCTATATATATCTATATATATCTATATCTCTCTATATATCTATATATACCTATATCTCTCTATATATCTCTATATATCAATATCTATACCTATATCTATCTATATCTATATCCATCTATATTTATCTCTATATATCTATATCTATATCTATCTCTCTCTCTCTATATATATATATATCTATCTCTCTCTATATATATATCTATAGATATATAGATATATATATATAGAGAGAGATAGATAGATATAGATATAGATATATATATATATATATATATAGATAGATATATAGATAGATAGATAGATAGATATATATATATAGAGAGAGAGAGATAGATATAGATATAGATATAGATATACATGTATCTCTATACTTATATCTATAACTATATGTAATGTGTGTCTCCAGGGCAGGCTCTGGTAAGTCAAGATAGCCAACAGCTCCAGTGCATCTGTGGGGGCATTCTCCACCCTTACCTAAACACTATGTTAAAATAACCAAGCTTCTTTCTTGTCCTGTCTTGTGTCCATTATGGTTCAGCAGGGAAGCTACACTCATACATCCACTCCACAGCTAAGGAAGCTGTGGGCATTAAGAAAATTGTTGGTTATCAGGAAGAAAAGAGTGTCCCAGACCAGACATCATTTCATTGGCAGACATCATTTCAGTTTACAACTCATGCATGGGTTTTCAAATGGCCCCACCCCATATAAGAGAATCATAAGACTAATCCTGCAATGAAGGAAGAAAGCTGGTAATATGTAATGGATGGATGCAATGTTTGCTTGGTGCACAAATGATTAATCCTGCTCTCCTTCCTGCAGCCAGAGTTTATGCAGATACTTTCCAAGTGAGAGTAGTACATTCTGTTCTGTCAGAGAATCATGCTCAAAGATCAGGATCTCTTTTTATGAAGTGTGTGTGTTGTTTTTTTTTTTTTTCTCACTCTCAAGGGTGGTGCTCAGAAGTCTCTTAGGTCTAAATATAACTTATTTTGGCCTGTGTACCAAAAGGACACATACTTTTGCTGCACTTGTCTGAAGTACAGAGAAAGAACAGGGAGCAAATATTCTTAGTACAGACTCAGGAAGGAGAATAATGGCCGACACAAAGCAACAAACATTTGGCATTAATCTTGTTGCACAGAAATGATGAGGCCCCTCCTTGGGGATGACAGTGCTGTTGTCCCCTGAGGAGGTCCCTGGTTCATGGCGTCCTGGGGTCAGTCCTCTCTCTGCTCTCTAGAGGTCAGACTTTTTTTTTCCCCCTTCCTTTCCCTTGGCAACAGAAAATTAGATAAAATTAGATAATAAGCCTTTCTGGATGTTAAGTGTGCAGGTCTCTCAGCACTGCAGAGTAAGGATCATTTCAACTGTCAAATAGTCACAACTGCTTTTTAGGCCAAATTAGCACTATCCACTAAAATATCATGTAGCAAACTTAAGCAACTGAAAAATGATCCATATTTTTAAAAAATGGAAAAAAAAACAGGTAAAATCAGCACAGCAGAGATCTTTTTAAAATCCATGTATATAGAATATTATATTTCACAGTAAATCTAAAAAGAGTAATTAATATTTATTTTGTCATTTTCAGCTAAATCTTCAAAGACCAGTGTGTATTTCATATATACAGTGCATGTCAGTTATGATGCTAAATTTCCAAGGGTTTAATGAAAGAAAACATGACCTTTCTAAACAAGCATGTTGTACATAACTCCAAATATTTAGTATGTTTTAAAATAAAAACTTTAGTTAATTTAGATAAAATTAAATTCATGTTTTCATTCACACTTAGCCACATCTCATTCTCAATAGCCCTGTATAGCCGCTGGCTTTACCACATGGTGTACGCGCCACACTGAAGTGTACACACCCAGTGGCTTCTTGAATTGTAGTGCTGCTTTCTGAAAACATTTAGGTGCTTATTTACTTGAGTTACTTATTTGGAGGAGTTCATAGTCACAGACCATTGTTAAACATGCTTTTATCTACTCTTCATACTCCTAGCTTCTTTTCACTAAGGCATTTTTTTCCAAGGGAAGACTTCTGCAGGATGCACCTGAATCCCCTCACATGTTTTCTGCAGTTGTGGCAGCTACAGCCTTCATTTGACTCTCACAGCAAGGTATAGCCTAATCTAGCTTCATCAATCATAGGTCTTCTCAGTCTTGTCTTCATCGAAGTTGGAGAGAAGGAAAGGCTCCCTTTTCAACATTGCAAGTCTCTGGGTTTCCAGTTTCTTTCTATTTTCTTTGCTTCTGCTTGATACCATTAAAATATTTCAGAGCTCGTCTCATTCTGATAGTAATTGTTCAACTATAGCCAAAACATACCATCAATATGTTGTTTTCCAATGTCTTTTTTAGATAGGTTGAGTTTGTGAAATATATTTTCTATCTTATACCAAGTAGAAATTTAACTGTTTTGCCATGCCATAATATGGATTGCCAACCTTCGAGTTTATCATAAGTTTCCAGCAGCCTGTGTCCAGCCAATCTATAGCAAATGTGATATATGTTAATTTAACTGTCTTGTTTATAACAATTTCTACATTCCTCAGTGGCTGAGTAGGCTCATTTATGCTGTGTGAGCAGCACAGCAGTATCTCATTGGGCTAAAATAAAGTCTTCTATTAAGCTTATGCTACTACTCTGACAAGTCTGTTTATATGTTCTGTTTTTCACACCTATTTAAGGATATAGGCTGAAGCAGTATCACTAGTTAGATGTCATGCCAGAGGAAAAGAACACTCTAAGAGTGTCTGAAGCCAGTAATTAAATACCCTGACTAGTAAATGTCACTGATTATATCTGTTCACGATACTTTTGGAAGAACAAGTTTTCCTGTGGGTGATCCTAACATATGACCCATGAGGAAGAGAGCTAGAAATACTTGTTCATCGACATCAGTAATAACACTCATGGAAATGATGGTAACAGAATTCAGGAAGGAAAAGGAAACAAGTGCTATAACCTCAATTATTATGGGAAGATGGTTAAGAACACAGACCTTAATAGAGTAGACTAGACTAGATGGGCTAAGTTTCCAATATGTGGGCGTGCTACCTGAGAATATAGAGGTAAAGGCTGGGAAAAGGCACCGAACAAGCAAGATAATACCGACTCTTCTCTGCCACACACTCCTGAACTGGGGAATCCCTGAGGACATGGGTGAACAAGTACCTTCACCTAGAAGGGATTAACATAAATAACATCAGTAGGTGATTTCTAGCATTCAGTTGGTAAAGAATAATCTTTCCTGCTATAGAGTTTCTTAAGGAAGTTATTTGAGATTGAAAGGGAACAACTAAAGGCCTATTGAGGTGGTCTGTGTGGAGGACATCAGTGGACTGTCATAAGCGGTGGGAGGAAGCACGGAAGATCCACAGGGTTTTGTTCAGTGCTTAGGGATAAGAAGCGTGCATGAAATTAGCTGATTCTAAGGTTCAAAATAATATTGGTAGGAAGTAAGCAAGTTGTATCTACAAAAATCATACACATGAATCATCTTGGCTTCAGTTCCTGATACCTTTGAGGAGATCAAACTGCAGGCTCCCCATATTGATCTCCTGTATAGGTTTTAGAAAAGAAAAATTCAACTATAGTGATTTTTTTTTTTCTTTTCTTGTTAACATTCTATACACAAAGATCTTATTGATCTCATCCATCAGGTAATTATTTTTTATCAGGTAAGTTCCAGAACTCAATCAATATCACATGACAATTCATGGGTGACTTTGACCATGAGGCTCTTCCTGGCATCCCCAGGCTGAGAACCATGGAGGTCTGGACTCCCTCAGCTTCACAGGCCTGCAAGACTTGCCCCTACTTCTTTTTGAGCTGCTGCTTTCAACACAGTAGCTGTTTTAGAAGAAAAGGCGGATCAGACTGTCTCTGTCCCTGTGAAGACAGAGACATTTTAATGCAGCAAAGGCCAAAGAACTGGAAGTTCCCCACAAATGTTTGCTTAATCTCATCTCCTCTTCTCTGCCCCCCACCCCCACTTTCCATTCCATTCCCAACATGCTGGCTTCCATATTTTTCTTCAGAAAGACTCAGGGACTTTGCACTGACCTTTCCATTGTCCAGGAATGTCCCTTGCTGAGCATTCTGTAAAACCAACTACCACATGCATTTCAAGTCTTTACTTAAAATCATCCAACACAATTTAAACTGCAATGTTTACCACCTGGATCACAATTCCTCTGTCCTACTTTTTTCCTTACATGCAATATAATTATCTTCTTTTATTATATGAGCACAGTATGATTTCCTTGCTATAGAATAAGCTTCACAAGAGCGGTTATTTTTACATTTTTGCCCTGCCATACCTTTCTGTCCAGGAACCGGAAACAGTGATCAGCACTAACATTTATGTGCAGAATGAATGACAATATTTTGACATCTGTTTGCATATCCATTTCCCAACTAGACTTGATCTGGGGACAGTATTAAACCTTACTTATTTTAACTTTTAGGTGGGCTAAGAAGAGGTCAAAGGGAAGATGAATGAGGCCAAAATATCTGAAATGGCTTGTAAAGTGTGTGATACACTTTTCATTTTGCATGTTTGGAAAACAGATTTTTACCTGAAATGGCTTGTAAAGTATGTGATACACTTTTCATTTTGCATGTTTGGAAAACAGATTTTTTATAAAGTATAATAATTGTAAAGTACATTTTAATTACCAACTTCTAGTAAAACTGAAACTTAGGACAGTTTTTGAAAAGCACAATTTATATTTTATGTAAAATTGAGAGGTTCAGCAAGAGAACACAATTGGTTCGACCAATTTACCTTATCTACAAGTGGACAGTTTGTATTTGTCAAACTGCCTAAGTAAATTTGTAATCCAAGTTCAAATTATATGTTTTTACTATTTTGTATAGCTGCTAAGTAGTGTAAAATAATTTGCTTTAGAATTGTTTTCAGAAAATCCTAATACAGATATTTAATTTATTTTCATTTTCTTTCTCTTTTTCTTTTATTATGTGTTTTCTCTTTTTCTGCTTCTTTCTATCTCCTGATATTATATTCTCCCTCTCTCTCCCCCACATCCATGAAAATTTTGCCAATTGACTTTATACAAAGTAAAAAAAAAAAAAAAGTAATTCAATGGAGAAATGATGATTTTTTTTCAACAAATGATTCTGGAACACCTGAATTTTCACATAAAAAAGAAAATTCACTCTGTACCTCAAAATTCACACAATATTAATTCAAATACGATTATATACTCAAAGGTAAAAATATTAAAAAATTAGCAGAAAACTTAGAAGATTCTGATAAAATATGAAGATATAGAATGAGAAGAAATACTTGCAAGTCACATACCTGATAAACAGCTCACATGTAGAATATATAAAGAAGTCTAAATGTCAATAATAAGAAAACACAAAGTGAAATAAAATAATAATCTTCTTTTCCAAAACATTTGGCTAGACACTGCAACAAAGAAGACAGAAATCAATATCTTTGATTACCTGTTCACTATTACTAATCACTAGAGAAATCAAGTTACAAAAACACTGAAATAATACTACAAACCCATTAGAATGAGGAGAAAAATGTCTGACAGTATCTACTGTCAAGTAGATCAGTATTGTAAACAATTGGAACATGGATGCATTAAAGGCTTTGGGTGGAGCTAGCTTTTCCTGGAACTTTTCACCTTTGGACTGATTTTCATCAAAGTTGAACCTTAGACACTGTCTGAAGTTCAAGCAGTTATGTTGTCAGCACTCTTACTGGATGGCTAGCATGATTAGGCCAGTGGCATTGACCAGATAGGGTCAGGGAGGAGGGAATCAGATGACTGCCTGACCAGGTATGTCTCCATTTGAACACTATTCTCAATGTTGGAAAAATTCCTCCCCTTTTATTATAACTGTATTAAGTTCAAGTCAGTTACAAGGTGGTTTTTGCTTGTGTGCTTTTTCTGTTCTTTTTCTTTTTAAAGGAAGTTTAAGATTATCTTGTAAGAGCAATCTTTGTTGTAAGGCTTGTTAGCGTTGCATATGTGCTAAGATGGCCTTGTTCCTGCAGCTCCCTGGCACAGAGTTGCAAATTTGCATCAAATGGTGCACTAAGAGACACATCGTGTAGATGTTGGAGTTAGCTTTATGGCTATCATCAATCCTTTAGCCACGATATGTCTCTTAGCATATACTACAAAGCTCTCACAGAGTAGCCAATATGGAGATAAATATGCACTCACTGTGCCCTGCAGAAATCTACTCCTAGATATTTTCAAAAGAAATAAAATCTATATTCAAATGGCTATCTGTATGCATATAACCACTTTATTCAGAATCACCAACAAGTAGAAACAATCCAAATGTTCTTCACCTGGGGAATGGATTAAAAAAAAAAAAAGTGGTGTTACGTTCATAATGAAATGCTACTTAGTAATGGAAAGGAGAAAAATATTGATACACAAAATAAATTACCCAGAGCCATAGATTGCAGATGTTTTCTGAGGAAAAAAAAGTGTCTCTTATATCTCATTATGGTAAAGTAATAATTCTTTTAATCTCTAATTTAGAAAACAAGGATTCTGAAGTTTTCAAAATACTCCAGAAGAGAGAATGTCATTTACTATGTTACACACCTTAGTTGCTTAGGAAGAGGAAACTCAACCAGAAAATTTATGCTAATTTGACAACTTATGTGAATCTAAGTTGAATATTTTTCAGTTTTCAAGGGTTAATTAGCATTCTGCTTTAAGTCTGTCTCTTATTTATTTGGGTAGTATAACTTGGTACCAAAATTAAATCATGACTATAAGACTAACTTCTAGTTGAGATAAACATGCAAACTAGGACCCTGTTCATTTCATGTATCAGATGTGGTTTATACCCACGATTAGGATCTTCAATTACCATCCAGAACATAATAAACCACTGTAATAGTAATGGCATTCACCCTTAAAAGCCCTTATATCTCTTTCTTCTTAGATAAATGTCACCAGCTGACTAGGCTGGCAACTAAAAAACCACACAAACACAGAAATACCTTTTTCAGGGGTCAAGGATGAGTCGGAAATGTCAGGTGTCAGCTCCCACGCTTGAAGGCAAGGAGAGCAAGAGAGGCAAGAGGCGCGAGAGAGTACACCCTGAACCCCTCTGTTTATTTAGGGGAAAGACATTCTATAGAAAGTTCCATCCAAATAAGGCAAGGGATTGGGTTTTGAAGGGTGCAGTCTTGCTTGGTCAAGTCTTGCTGTCAGCAGACTGACTGACATCTTGGAAAGCCCTGCCCATCTCAGGTGGTGTGTGGGATCACAGGTAGAGCAAGAGAAAAGGCGCACATACCTCGCACAGCCCAATTAGGCAGTAACATCAGGCCAATCCCCTCATACACTCAAATGGGCATAGCTCTCACACAAGCCCATGGATGGATTGTGACAGATAAAGAATTGTTTCCTTGTATCCTCACCAATTGATGGGGACAAGGAAACATCCAGTGTCTACCAGGTATAAGGTTCTATGTCAGAGGGATTAGCATTACCTAATACAATCTAATAACACCTTTATGTAATAAATTTACTTTTTATTTTTAACTCTAGAAAGGGAAGTTCAGAGATCTTTATTGAGCTGGCCAGCACCCTGACAGAGTAGGTTCCTGGCCAGGAGGCGTGAGCTGCCTGGGAAAATGAAAAAAGTCTGAAAAAAGAAACAAAGCCAAAGATTAGATTTTACAAATAATGCTATAATAGAAACTCTGTAAAAAAATAAATAAATAAATAAAAATAAAAGGGCTGAGCGACAGATGGGTCTTCCTGTCCTGATAGGAACTGGAACTGAACAACAGAAAAAGGCCCCAATTCTTTTTTTAAGGGGGAGAACATCAAAGACAGGAATAAGGTTGCATTGGGAGGAGTCTTGGTGCTTGCTTCTCAGTGTGGCAGGGTTGCAGTAAACAGGTTGATGGCATTTGGCATGCATGCTACACCCATCTCTGGGAGGCTGCCTGGCTCCAGCAGGCCACTCCAGTCTCCGGAGCTGAACCTGAACTTTAGCTGTGAGCGAGGACAGAGCGCTAGGTGAATGAGGCATTCTCCAACCCGTGGATTCCGCCTTGAAGTTCCCCAAATCAGCCTTCCCTGCCTAATGAATGACTCAAGCATCACTCAGTTCACCCATGGCTCATAGGTGGCTTCCCGCAGAACTTATGTTTCCCAAATAAAGGTCAGAACTTAAAATTGACACTATTTTTTTGCTCATATCTTAGAACCTGTACCAGAACTTGAAGACACTGGAGAAGACTGGCTCAATTTCTGAGCAAGCCAACGTAGTCAAACTTAGGTAAACCCAGGAGGACTGGTTCCAGAGTGGGCTAGGAGAAACTTCTGACAACCCAGGCATTTATACGTAACAGGAAAAGCTGTTAATTCTTTTTCGCTAAATTGTAATTATAAAAACTAGGCATAGTTTATTTAATCTATGGGATATTTATAATACATATGTACACATATACTTTATATATAATACATAAGAACACATTATATAAACATATACATAAGTACACACATATACATTTTAAGATAGAACACTTTTAAACACTAATTTCCAAGCCAACTCTTTTATGCACTGGATGAATTTCAACAAAAAGTTTGAGTAATTATGAGTAATTAATGCAAAAACTTATTTAATTTTAGAGAATATTCTATTTTTTAAGTTTTGTTTCACCACATATTGCTGATGTCTGTCTCTTTTTCATAGTGAAAGACCGAACTGGCTGCCAAGACAAAGAAGAGAGATTACAGACAGAAAAAAAGAGTCTTTATCGTCTTATAAACAGCATTTATAAGCCTAAGTTTTAACATTAGAATAGAGTAATTACCTACTGGGCATGGGAAGGAGTAATAAAATATGTCAAATGATAATGATAAGTGATTACAACTCCCTTTAAGCGTTTTTTATAGTCTGATTTAGCTAGTTTGACTTTTTATGAAACTATTCAAAATTGAAGGTTGAATCAGACTATTTAAGAAGGTAGCTTGAAATTAAGGTTCTTTAACTAGTATATGTGGGTCCAACACATAGTTAAGATTTTTTATATATTATGCTTATGTGTAGATTTATTCTTGACTTGAAAACATGTGAGAGCAAGTGATCCCCTCTTTATAAAGCCACATCTCTTGTATTAACAAAATTTAGTAAGAACAATGTAACAGGAATTGTAACAATTATAAAAAAATTATTATCTTATTTCATAATCACATCAGCCTTATGGGTATGTACTAGTTGAATTCAATTTATAGATAAATGGAAGTTTAGTTTGGTTACATCATTTACATAATAGAAATTGAATTCAAATTTGGTATCAGCTTGACTCTAGCACATGCATTCCTTGACTCTTTCATTTCTCAAGTACAATCCAGCTCACCCAAAGACACTTTTTATCATAAGTTTTTGGAAATTATTCTATTTAGACATGTTTGCCAAATGTGTAATTGTTTGATTTCACAAACCAGGTATTTTACAGATTGCCAAAAACTCAACATACAATTGTTGTTTGGACAAAATAATTACTCCCTATTCTATAATTTTAATGACAAGGCAACTTATGGCTGCAAAGATGTTGAAATCGTTTTCTACATTCACAGAGTGAATTATGGAGCTGAGCTTAGAATCTGAATTTCTTACCTTAACCAGGTATATTCCAGTTAACTACTACTTAATTTAAAAGGATAAAAATATTTTATAAAGTTAAATTGGAATTGGGAAGGTGAGTGACAAATCTCTATTTTGACTAAAAAATAGCACTTTATAGATTAGAACATCAAAAGAGATATGGATCCCAGTGACTCAGGAGGCTGAGGCAGGAGGATTACAAGTTCAAAACCAGTCACACCAACTTAGCGAGGACCTTAGCAACTCATTGAAACCCTGTCTCTAAATAAAATATAATTTTAAAAAGGCTGAGAATATGGCTTAATGGTAAAGCGCCCCTGGATTCCATTCCTGGTTAAAAAGAAAAAAAGAGAGAGAGAGAAAAGAAAAAAGAAAGAAAGTAAAAAGAGAGGAAGAGGCATGGCATATAATATCTTATGGTTCCTTGAGAGGATCTGACCTAGGGTGCTTGTAGCTAAAAGATACTAGTCCAAAGGCCTTGGCAAAATGAGTTAATAGGATACCCAGCACCCACTTTACCCTAGTGCTTAGAGGATCAGAATCTCAGTACACCTCTAGTCAGGCTGATGCACATTCAGCATGTTTTCTATACAGGCACACTGTTTATTAAAATAATGCAGGGTCTGAGGCTGAGGCTGGGGCTCAATGGCAGAGCACTTGCCTAGCACATGAAAGGTTCTGGGTTCGATCCTCAGCACCACATAAAAATAAACAAATAAAAATAAAGGCATGCTACCCATCTATAACCACAAAAAAACCCATTTTTTAAAATAATGCAATATTTCTATTTCCTTTGGTAAACTCCTGGTTCCCCAGTGCACTGAGTGTGCCTCCTTCTCTGGACTGTCTCAGTCCAGCGTCTCTGGACTACCCCAACTTAGTGCAGCCAAAGGGGAGGTGGTGGGTGGCAGGATACCCCCAAGAACCGCTTTTCTGCAGTTCTTCTGCTATGACCTAGTAGTTAGTGTGTCCTGGTGCATCAGCTAGAAAGTGCATCTAGGAATTTCACTTTAATGCTGTTTTTATTTTCCTTTCAAATTGTTGTTTACTTCAACTCCTTGTTAGACATTCTAAGGTAATTAAATGTTATTTGAATTCATTAGTGAACCATTGAGTTTCTTTTAATAATAGTGTAATATATATATAAAACATGAGGCATATTTCTTTAAATCAAGTATTATGATAGAATTTACTACAGATATAATCAGTGGTGGGAAGCTGAGAGTGTTTTCTATTCTTAACTCACTCCATGGAGACCAAGAGCCCTCCACCATTACATTGCTTTAAGTCTAAAATGGGGTAACGATCCTAATTTTCCCTCTTCAAGCCCGCACCTACTGTACCTAATAACTTCTTATCCAGAAAATCTACACGATAATCAACACTTTTAATCTAAATATAATCTTGTCAATAATTTTCTTTTTATTTTGTTATTAAAAATCAATAGTAATTTGTACTTCCTCTCAAGGAAAATACATTATATGATCTGTAATATATTTATATTCTATATAATATATATTATAAATACAATCTTCTCTGGGAAAGGTACAATATTGATAATATTCTTTAGAGATTATTTCAGAAGAAACTTCATTATATTTAGAAGTTTATATTTCTCAGAATGTGAACCTATGGTTTTTACAAGTCAAAGTAATGTATTCACTTTTGCATCAAATGTTTTGTGCTACATGAAAAAGTGAACAAATTATGCATGTTAGGATAGATGTAGCACAGTTAGCAATCATTTTGTAAATTATTTTTATGGAAGGCTATTCTGAATAATGTTAGGATAAAACTAGTGATACTAATATCCACTGGGCAAAATAGATCAAGTTTTACATAGTGTGTTGTGTTGCCTATTTTTATAAATACCAATATTAAAATGTAATGTCAGTATATTCTGGGTTTTTGAGCATATGAGAAAAAAATGTTAATATTCATGAAATGTCTCTGTTTTAATTATGGTATGTTAATATATTTCATAGAAAAGGACATGGAGTTTTTGCAACTGTAGTTGTTTTAAATGTTATTTGGACAAAATAACATTTGTGGTCTTCCAGTCAAGCATGATAAATGTTTGACAGTTTTCAGGGTCTGAGCTGATAAAGTTGTTTACATAACAGAAAATGTGATTTAAAATAAAGAAATATCCTCAATTAAAAATTAAGAATAACAAACAAAAAACTACATATTGCAAAATGAACTGAAGAAGATTGAACATGTAGAAAAATCATTACAGCAAAATAGATAATAGAAAACTATAAAAGGAGATTTTTTTCAATTAATCATTAGATGAACTTACTTTTTGAGAATTAAAATATAATGTAATTTTTAAAAATCTATATTTTTTCCTAAATATAAACAAAACTGGAGTATTTTTTTCTTAATTTTCAACATTCCAGAATTTTACAAAAAATAAAAACTGAAATATTTTGAACTACCTTTCAAGAGATAACTTATGTGACTTCTGGAGAAGTAATAAAGAATAATTAAAGATTATCATTATTGTTCTGTAATAATTTACACCAACAAGTGAAAATAGTCTTTTATTTTCTCTTCTACTCTTAATGTATTTAATACTTTATTCATATTAAATGTCATTCTTCTTCTAAAAGAAATGTGTATATTTTATAAGGTTGAATGTCAATATAATTTGCATAAATAATTATAATCAAAATTAGATATTTTATTTTGGTTTTCACTTAAAACTATGTGGACAAATAAATTTAGCTATAAAAACAACTTAAATTAGTGAAGTGAAATATGTCATCTATCTCAAGAACACTTTTCAATATTTTAAAGAACATGTGCTATTTTGAAATAACATTTAGGAAATATATGTCTAAAAGACAAATAATAGGGCTGAGGTTGTAGCTAAGTGTTAGAGCACATGCTTAGCATGTGTTGAGATATAGGGTGCAATTTCTAGCACCACCCTTGGAAAGTGATATTATATGCTAAAGACCATCAAATATCAAACAAACTCCAATGAAATGCAAATGTTTTATTTATTGTCTTCTAATGAGTTAGCTATATGTATAAACTGAGGGAACTTCTTTTTTATTCAATGTTGTAATTATCCTATTACAATTATATTATCCTGAGTCATTGTAAAATCCTGTATGCAAATATTGGCATGTTAGAATGTTTTATTGTTGGTAAACAAACCCTAATTTAAGTCATTATAAGGAAGATCATTGGTTTGTGTCCCTGTACATACAGGCACAAATCACATCTTCCATGATGGCAGCCTCATTAACAGGTTCATCCTTGCTCCGAGAACCTTTCACAGATGGCCTGTGACTGAAATGGATCCCTAAATGAATAAAACAAAAACAACTCCATAAACAGATCAGAAGCTTAAGTATAGAATGTAAAGCTAACAAACATTTAGGGAAAAAAATGTGAAACAAATTTCACAATCTAGGGTGATAGTAAAGCATTCTTAGACTTGACACAAATTATAAACCATAAAGACAACTTAATAAATTACAACAAATCAAAATGAAGTGGTCAGGTACACGGATAAAAAGACAAGCTACCCATGGAGGAAATATGTGCAATGGCAGAGCCAACCAAAGACTAGTATCATGTATCAAGCAGAGGGGGGAGGCAAAATGCCTTCTTCCTAAAAATCCTGGAGAAGTTAGGGAAGCACTGAAGGCAAGCCTGGGCCAGAGTATCCAGATATATGTCGTCTTGCAGGACACTGGCTCTCTTATTCGCACTGGGAACTAGGGCCAGCTCATGTTGTCTGTTGAAAGCTGGTTTCTTGGATGTGTGTGGAGAGTTGCTCCTCAGGATGTTGGTCATACAGGCAAGCTAATGCTGAGGTCACAGCTTCTGCAGCCTAACCTACAAGAACCTCTCAGAGTGGGGATAGGCACAGAACTGAGGGCACTGTGGAGAGGACATGTGTCACTTGCCCAGTGAGCCACCACTGGACTAAACACTATGAGGGAGGGGGTCCCTGTCTGAAAGATGCTAGAGGCAGGTGCTACCTGTCAGCCAGTCATCACTGAACTTTTCTTGGAGTGGTCACTGATCTCTTGAAGCGTTCCTGAATAAATCATAGGTGTACCATGCTGTCTCAGAGAACTTTCTTGCCTTTCCTTCACCCTACCCACTGGCCCAGCATAATGGAGCTGTGGACAAGCTAATTGGTGAGCCAGGGTGGAGGCCAAGAAATCTTTATGAGCTTGGAGACCTTGACAGGCAGGAAGGGGACAAGTGAGGAGGAACTCCCGGGATGGCCCTCGCCTCTGAGTGGGGAAGGGTGGCAGCTACTAGGGATGTCTGGATGCTACCATACGAGCATGGTGATGACCCCAAAACACCCCAAATTTTATGGAAAATACTGTTCCTTGTGAGTAAGCAACATGATCTAAAGAAAAAGAAAGAGATATGGTCTCGCCTCGGGGCAGTGGAAAAGGCAGAGCTGCAGGCCACACTTGGGTTAAGCAATTACAGAAGGAGTAAAAGCTGCAGTATGAAGTTTATTTTCCTCAAGCAGGGACTACTGAG